CAGATGCGGTGTTTATTTGCTCATTTATTATTTTTCCGACGAACGTCTTTTGTTTGTATATCTCCATATTCTCTAATACGTTTAGGCGTTGTCCTTTGTGCTGTACATGGAGAACTTTGGCTGTCTTTCCTATTTTCATTGGCGTACAATGGTTTTCTTCCATATGGTTTGCGAAGTTCGACTCCGTGGTGGTAGAAGGGTTTAGCATTTATGTAACAGAGTTACATAGGACAAACAGGGCGCAAGATAAAAACAAGATATCGTGAACATATAAGGGACTACAACAAAAAATGGCTAAAACCTTCTACCACCCCGGAATCGAACTTCGAAAACCATATGGCAGAAAACCATTGTACGCCAATGAAAAGAGGAAAGACACACAAAGTTCTCCATGTACAGCACAAAGGACAACGCCTAAACGTATTAGAGAATATGAAGATATACAAACAAAAGACGTTCGTCGGAAAAATAATAAATGAGCAAATAAACACCGCATCTCATATATTATTCGAACAACTCAGGCTACTATACGCAAAACAAAACAGAAACCCTGCAACTACCATAAACAATGAAATGAAGGTTTAAACTACAGAAACAAAGAGAAAGAAAATAACTGATTTTTACCTACCTGCGAATCCATGCAACAATTAATCAAAAAAGAGGTGAGCAACTAATTTCTACCTGAGGATGTACACACAGAACTGAAACTATTGCTTGAACGAAAGAATATAATCCGCTGAGACGTACCTAACTATGAACCAACGACGATTTAACACGGCTATAAATAGTGACAGACAAACAAAAACTATTCAGAACGAAAAATGACACTGAAGATTGCACAACGCCGAAACCGGGTTGTCTCCAAACCAAATTTGACAAGGGATGACGGAAAATCGTTCCACATTACATATATATGTATGTATGCTAAAAATTCTATAACTCCAACGATGCCTTAATTTTTTTGGCAGATTTTTCGATTTTCCGGCCACTGCGCAGTGGCCAGTGAAATTTTGATTTGTAGCTGGATATACATAAGGATATCCTACTTAGTATACATACCTATACATGCATAAGTTTGCAATTTAACATGTTGTTTTTTATTAAACGCTCCTCTAACTTTCTTTCACAGAAATGTATGCCTGAATTCATCAACGCCGCTTATCAGCTACAAATTGAAGCCACAAATACTTGTGGTGAAAATGGCGATAACCACTTTTGTATACAAACTATGAATCCTAATCATAAAAATTGTGAATTTTGTAGGTGAGATTAAATCATAAATACTATATAATAATGTGATTGTACTTACAATATTTAATAAAACTTAAAATTCATAAAGATATGAAGATCACTATCCACCGTACCTCACTGATCTCCACGATCCACAGAACCCCACATGGTGGCAGTCCGAAACCATGTTTGAAGGTATTCAACATCCCAACCACGTTAACTTGACACTGCATTTGGGTAAGCCGCCAAAAGAATAGCATTTATACGCATCTTTACTGAAATTCGCACTTTACACTTCAGGAAAATCGTACGACATCACCTATGTGCGCATACTTTTCCGATCGCCGCGACCCGAGTCATTCGCTATTTACAAACGTACCTCGGAGAGTAGTGAATGGATTCCCTACCAGTATTACAGTGCTACTTGTCGTGACACATATTCTCTACCCGACTCGCGGGCTATCCTAAAGGGTGAAGGCGAGGCGCACGCGCTCTGTACCAGCGAATACAGTGACATATCACCTTTGCGTGATGGAGAAATAGCCTTCTCAACGCTTGAAGGCCGACCGAGTGGTATCATATTTGAACGTAGTGGCGAATTACAGGTTGAAAATTATCACATATACAAAATATTAACATAACCCCGTCGGGAAACGCACTAGTGCCGAACTTGTTCTGTACTAGAGAATTTAAAACCATGACTAGTGCACATTAATTCCCTTTTGCATGCTAGCAACTGGCGAATTTAATATTGCGATGTCATGGGAAGTGTCAATTGCCCCCCGCTGCATCCCTTTTTCTATAGTTCCGAACTAATCCTCTATAGTTCAGAACCATTTCTAAAATCGACATAATGAAAGCGTATTTGAACAAAACAGACCCCAGACACATATCTATGTAAAGCAAACAAGCCCCACGCTGCATCCATTTTTCGATAGTTCCGAACTAGTTCTAAATTCGACAGAAAAGTTCTAGTTCGTTCTGCATCCCTTTTTCTATAGTTCGGAACCAGTTCTAAATTCGTCACCTTAGATAAATGTACATAGATTTCTAATGAAAAAAGTGAATTAAAATAGTTTTTTTTTAAGTACCACATTTCGCTGATTTTGGACTATAAGATTGGTTCGTTTTTGGCGATAACGATCTAGTACGGAACTACAAATTTGATTCACCAGTTCGCGGTTTCCCTGCAGGTTATGTACATACTATACATACATATAAACGTTTTCTGAGCGCTTCGTTCGAGCTCTCCCCATTATTCTCACTATTTAATCTACTGAGTTTGTTCGCAGGAATGGGTCACAGCCACCGACATACGCATCACCTTGGATCGTCTGAACACATTTGGTGACGAGCTCTTTGGCGATGCTCAAGTACTCAAGTCGTACTTTTACGCCATCTCCGATATTGCGGTTGGTGCACGTTGTAAGTGTAATGGTCATGCCAGCAAGTGTGTAGCTAGTACCGGCATGCATGGCGAACGCACTTTGGTTTGTGAGTGTCGTCATAATACCGATGGACCGGATTGTGAAAAGTGTTTGCCATTGTACAATGACGTCAAATGGAAGAGGGCAACATCGACAGAAGTCAACGAATGCAAAGGTAAGCATTGTGAGAGCGGAAGGAAGGGCTTCGCACTTCATTCCTCTTGTGAGAAATATGCAAAAACAGGATGATTTAGTTGCCATAATTGGTGGTGTAGTATTAGAATGCGTAGATCACTCACAGATGCCGTTATGTGCAAAGATGGGTTGAAGAAAATGGTGAGTCTGATAAGTATGAGCATCCACTGGACAAGCGAACGGTCAAAAATGCATTGCTGTCTTCTTTTCATTGTAACGATATTGAGCTGGCTTATGGCATCCGCTATTTGGAATCAACCGACGAGTTATCATCACTGGGACTACTCCCTTGATACAAACATATTTAATTATCACGCAACAAACTGGTATTTCATAAACTGTAATAAATGACACTGGCACCAATAATAAAGTTAGGAGGAAAATTTGNTGCATTGCTGTCTTCTTTTCATTGTAACGATATTGAGCTGGCTTATGGCAGCCGCTATTTGGAATCAACCGACGAGTTATCATCACTGGGACTACTCCCTTGATACAAACATATTTAATTATCACGAAACAAACTGGTATTTCATAAACTGTAATAAATGACACTGGCACCAATAATAAAGTTAGGAGGAAAATTTAATTCTGAATTTGCATTTTACTTTTCAGCTTGCAACTGTAATGGTTTTGCTGACAAATGCTTCTTTGATGTACATCTCTTCAACTTAACTGGACATGGTGGCCATTGCTTGGACTGTCGGGAGAATCGCGATGGGCCCAACTGCGAACGATGCAAAGAAAACTACTATATGCGAGAAGATGGCTACTGTATCAACTGCAACTGTGATCCGGTCGGCTCACGTTCTCTACAATGTAATAGTCACGGCAAGTGTCAGTGTAAACCCGGTGTGACCGGCGAAAAATGCGACCGCTGCGACAACAACTACTATCAGTTCGGTCAACATGGCTGCCAGCCTTGTGGTTGTGATCCACGCGGCTCCGCTAGCAATATACCATCGTGTAATCCCGACACTGGCATTTGCCACTGCAAGGAAAATGTAGAAGGAAAGCGCTGCAACGAGTAAGCTACACTGCTAATATTTAAGTTTGTAGATTACTATATGATTATTTTTTGTTGTATGTAGATGCAAACCCGGCTTCTTCAACTTGGATATGACAAATCGTTTCGGTTGCACGCCTTGCTTCTGCTACGGCCACACGTCCGAGTGTCAAACAGCACCCGGCTACTCAGTAGTTTCGATCACCTCGAATTTCAACAAGCACAAGGAACGTTGGACTGCGATGGATATTTTCAACCGTGATGTGGATATCAAGTATAACCAGTACAGTCGCAGTATAGGCACAACCGCACAAGGCAACGAATACATTTACTTCCTAGCACCAGAGCGTTTCCTTGGCGACCAGCGCGCCTCCTATAATCACGACTTGAAGTTCAAACTACAATTAGTTGGTCAAATAGCGCCCAGCACCAGCGCTAGCGATGTTATTGTGGAGGGCGCTGGCACCAAGATTTCGCTGCCGATATTCGCACAAAGCAACGGCTTGCCCGACCAAACTGAGAAAGAGTACACTTTCCGCCTGCATGAACATCGCGACTACCAGTGGCAGCCCAGTCAATCGTCGCGTGGTTTTCTATCAATACTTTCCAACTTGACGGCAATCAAGATTCGCGCCACCTACTCCATACAGGGAGAAGCCATTTTAGATGATGTGGAATTACAAACGGCTCATCGTGGCGCTGCTGGTCAGCCCGCCACCTGGATTGAGCAGTGTACCTGCCCCGAGGGTTACCTGGGACAGTTCTGCGAGTCTTGCGCGCCCGGTTACAGGCATAGTCCTGCACGCGGTGGTCCATTTATGCCTTGCATTCCGTGCGATTGCAATGGTCATGCCGAGATTTGTGACTCAGAAACTGGTCGGTGTATTTGTCAACACAATACGGCCGGGGACAACTGTGACCAGTGTGCACGTGGATACTATGGCAACGCTTTGGGTGGTACACCATATGACTGTAAACGTTGTCCTTGCCCCAATGATGGTGCTTGCATGCAAATCAACGGCGACACCGTCATTTGCACCGAATGCCCTGTTGGCTACTACGGCGCGCGCTGTGAAATGTGCTCGGACGGCTTCTTTGGTGATCCAACGGGTATCTATGGCGCGGTGCAAACATGTAAAGCGTGCGACTGCAACGGCAATGTGGATCCCAATGCGGTAGGCAATTGTAATCGTACCACTGGTGAATGTCTCAAGTGCATACACAACACAGCCGGAAAACACTGCGACGAGTGCTTAGCAGGACACTTCGGCGATCCACTGGCTCTACCACACGGCCAATGTGACCGCTGTAGCTGCTATCCACCAGGCACCGAACAAAATCAGGATGGTATTACACAATGCGATCAAGTAACCGGTCAGTGCCATTGCAAACCAAATGTGATTGGACGTGAGTGCGGTGAGTGCCAGCCAGGATACTTCAATATTATGTCGGGAAATGGGTGTGAAAACTGCATGTGTGATCCTGTTGGTAGTTACAACTCCACCTGCGACAAGTTCACAGGACAATGCTTCTGCAAGCCGGGTGTTTTGGGGCAACAGTGCGATCAGTGTGAAGTATACCATTACGGCTTCTCCCAGGAAGGTTGTAAGCCTTGCGAGTGTGACGAAAGCGGCTCTAAAGGATTCCAATGCGATCAGTATGGGCAGTGTCCATGCAATGACAATGTAGAGGGTCGCCGATGTGATCGTTGTAAAGAAAACAAATATGATCGCCATCTGGGTTGTATAGATTGCCCGGATTGCTATAACCTCGTACAAGATGCGGCCAATGAACACCGTGCAAAGTTGCATAACCTTAGCGCGACATTGGATGAAATTGCACGTACACCCGTTACTAATGATGAGGAGTTCGAGGCCAAATTGAAGACCGTGCAAGAAAAAGTAGACATCCTTTTAACCGACGCTAAGTATGGCGCAGGCGAAAGTGGCCAGACGTATGCTGAAGTATTGGATGATCTGCATAAACGCCTCAACAATATCCGCACTCACCTGGTCACCGCCGACGAGCTACAAGATAAGGCGAACGATGAAATCAAAAAGGCCAGACAAAACTATTCCAATGCGCATGACATTGTTGAGGCTACGAAGAATGAACTGCAGAACGCATTGAACTTACTAAATGATGACGGTGCACAGGCGCTGTCTAAAGCCAAAAACAAATCTGTAGAGTTCGGTGTGCAGTCAGATCAAATTTCGGAGATATCACGCGAAGCACGGGCTTTAGCCGATCGCTTAGAATCGGAAGCGCAAGTCGATTTGGAGAATGCCAAGGATGCCAACGAAGCAGTGGAGAAAGCCTATGAGTTGGCGAAAAGTGCAATCAACCTTCAGCAGAAAGTAAGGTGAGTATAAATGAGGTAAAGGTTTTCCCTATGGAGAAGAGCTTTCATAATGCCACAAATAAATTCATACTTTTAGCGATGAACTGCGTTCAGAGGTACGTCTGGAGTTAAATACAGTCAAGCAATCGCTGACTAATGTAGCTCAAACCACCAAAGAAGCGTTGCGTAAAGCGAACGAGGTTTACGACGCTGCTTTAACATTGCTTACGGATGTCAATGGGCTAACTGCACCAGAAATTAATATTAAGAAGCTTAAGAAGGATGCATTGGCAGCAAATGAAGACGTAAGCTAGTTTAATAAAGATATTTAGCCTCTTAAGAGTCTTTCCTAAATACTTATATACATATGTATATGGGTTTGCAAATATTTTAGGCCGATCGCCTTTTGAAACGAGTCAACGATATATCCAACAGCAACGGTAACATATTTGCCGATTTCGATGAGGAATACGAACTAGCCGATTTGCTAATTCTCAGGTGAGTATCGGTGCCATGAAAGTGGTTCATTTAATATTTTTCGTCCATTTATAGAGCAAACGAACAAAAACAAGACGATATCAGGCTATTAAAAACCGCCCAGGACGCACTTGACAAAGCTAGAAAGGCTGTTGAGCAGGGCGATAGCACGCTGAAAGAAGCCAACAACACATATCACACTCTGGCAGGTAAGAACAGCTCGAAATAAAATTTTATTAGAGCACAGCACCTACTTAGAGCGCGGACACGATGAAAACGACGAGCTACGGACCACAGCTGTCAAATTATTTTTCCACATGTTCTTATGTATATAATTATTTTGGCGATGACAGGGCTACGCGATAACTATGGTTGTGGCCAGAGGAGGGGAGGGGGGTTGATACACAATGGCTATAGGCGTCGCACTATAGGCAAAACAGGAGTTTTTTTCCAAAATCTTAGATCTTCGCTTAGAAAAGAGATAATGGAATTAATCGTGGAAGATTGGAAAAAGAAAAGCTACATTTAAACTCTAATAACTCGTAAACTATCAGCTTTCACAAAAAAAATTTATATAACAAAAATGGTTATACTGGTCGATATCTTTACGAAAGCGCAGCATTTAACCCTTTAATGCAGAGTCTGTAATATATAAACGCTTTTTAACCCTTTCAAGGCAGAGGCAAAATGGTTCTCAATATGTTTTCAACGTACTTTTTATTTATTTTTATTTCTATTTTTAATATTTTTATTTTTTTATTTTATTTTTTTATTCATTTTTTTTTANTTTTTATTTTTATTTTTAATATTTTTATTTTTTTATTTTATTTTTTTATTCATTTTTTTTATTATTTTACTATGGAAAAATTTTTCTACGGTTAATATCTACGTCAACATGAGAAAAAGCACGTTCAAAAGCATATTGAGAACCTTTTTCCTCTGCCTTGAAAGGGTTAAAAAG